ATGACCCATAGCTGCCTGCTTCGTCCCCCAACCCTCGACGATGAAAAGGACTTCGTCCCCCGGCCGCGCGGCTCCGGGGAAGGAAGACAGAGCGACCTCCGCCGCGCGCTCAGGGCCACTCTAGAGGGAGAAGCCGCCCCGAGGCCGGCAGAGCGCCCAGCCGCGGCGGAGACCGGAAGCCTTCCGGAGCCCAAGGCTGTGCACCGGCCCTGTGCTGATTCTCTGCCTAGGAAAGGACCATGCAGCCTGAGATCAAAGTACCCCTGAACTTCATCATTTTCTACTCTTGTATAACAAGCTGCTCTGGCGCTTCTGAAAAAGAAATAAGAAGTCCACTGGTACCCTGACAAACCGCTGAAGGGCTCTGGCTTCCACCATGTCCACAATGGGGAGATGGTGGACCCCTTTGGGGAGCTGGCCGCCAAGCGAAGTGGCCTGGCAGTGGAAGATGTGCGGGCCAATGTGCCTGAGGAGATAAGCATATGGATTGACCCCTTCGAGGTGTCCAACCAGATTGGCGAGAAGGGAGCAGTGAAAGTGCTGTACCTGGATGACAGTGAGGGCTGCGGGGCCCCAGAGCTGGACATAGAGATCAAGAGCAGTTTCAACCCTGACGACCAGATACTCGTGCCTACCGGAAGCCAGGACAGCTCCTTGTCCAACTCCCTGTTGCCATGCTTTTCCCATCACCCAGCCCTACCTTCATCCTCTGCCTCGCCAGCCCATCACCTTCACCATAGACTCCTTTGCTGCCACCAAATTAGGCTCCATGAAGATAAAGAAGAGGGGTGGGGCAGCAAGTGGTAGAGGAGCAGCCAGCCGTGAGGCAGGTGGCCAGCAGCTACCACAGTAGCCTCCATGGCCCGCTTCAGCACCAACAGCTTGTTGAAACACAAGAGTCTTTCTCTGTCTATGCATTCACTGAACTTCATCCCGCTCAACCGGGCCCTCAATCCTAGCTCTCGCCGAAGGCCACGTACAGTCTCAAGTACAACAGTGGCGACTCGCTCAGTTTCTTCTTTGATGGGGCCGATGGCCAGGGCAGTGGTACCCCATCCCCCTTTGGAGGCAGTGGGACTGTCACCTGCAACAACAGCAGCTTCTGCATGGTCTAGATATTTGGAGGTGGCACCACCTGCCTCTTCCTGGAGAAGCCACCCTTCATGGAAGGCCTCAGCTACAACCTGAACACCATGCAATATCCTAGTCAGCCCTTCCAGTCCATGGTGCTGGCCAACTGACCGTCTACCTGCCCTGGGGCCAGGCACCCAAGACCACAGAAAAGAGAGAGAAAGAAAAGGAAAGGCCAAAAAAAAAAAAAAAAAAAAAAAAAAA